ATATATATATATATATATATATATTATGCGGTGCATTATATAGGATATTTCATTTCATCAAAATTATACCTTTTTGTCCAATGATTAGAAAATTCACATTTAATGTTTGTGCTACATTTTTTTTTATCAGTAATGTTGGTGTTGTATATACACATGCATATACTATATATCTATAAAAATATATACAACATTAACTAGGCATATATAGTATACTCTTTTTATATTATTGCCTCAAAAAATATTATACTGATTATATGTATATGGAGTACTTGTTAAACAGATTAGGGACAAAAATGGAGAGAAAAAGTGGAAGAAAGTTGAAGTGAAGCTAGAGGACCACATCAAAGTTCCTACATTTCCCAATGGCAAGTCATCCAACTTCTTATATGATGAACATATTGAGGACTACATGTCCACAATAGCATTGGAACACTTACCACAACATAGACCACTATGGGAACTTCACATCATCAAATACCCTTCAACAAATGCTTGTGGCACTGTGGTGTTCAAGCTCCACCATGCCCTAGGGGATGGTTTCTCCCTCATGGGTGCCCTTCTTTCATGCATGCAAAGGGCTGACAACATTAGTCTACCCTTCACACTCCCATCAAGCCAAAGACCCAGATCAATTTACAACAACACCAATGAGGCCTTGAAGAGGGTGCCCTCCATGGTGTCCTTGGCATTTAGAACTGTGTCGGATTTTGGATGGAGCTTGTTGAAAAGTAGCTTGATTGAAGATGACCAAACACCAATTAGGTCTTGTGCTGAAGATGTCAAGCTTAGGCAAATGGTCATCTCAAATGTGACCATCTCTTTGGATCAGATCAAAGAAGTGAAAGCTAAACTTGGTGTGGTAGGTGCAATGTCTCTCAAATTAATAACACTAGACTTTAATAATATAATGCTTATCATATATAATTTCTACATAAATTGAACTTTTATCTTGGTATAGCTCCATACTCTGTTTTCTTATTTTTTTAAATTTTAACTTAACTACCACTCAAACTTCCTTTTGAGCCTTAATTATATATATTTTTTCATAAAATTTAGGTACAATTTCATAAGTGCAGCTATTATTATTATTACTTTAATTATAATTAGAGGTTTTTTTAATAATACACATAAATGTATATTTAGAAGATTCGAATAAATGCAAGTACAAATTATTGAAATAAAATTTTAAAATTTTAAAAATAATATTAATCACACCTAAGATTGTTACATCAATATTTCTATTAAATATTGGATGTCAAATTAATAAAAAAAAAATTAATTAATATATAGAGCAAATTTGGAGAAAGTTAGAAGATCAAATTTGAGAAATAATGATAAGAGAGAGAGGGAAATACTACAATTTAACCTTGCTTTTATATCACTAAGCCGCATGGATTAAAAAGAAACATATTAAATTCAATTAAAATTTCATTTTTAGATATGATTTAAAGCTTATTGATTATACAATTTCAATCATTGATATAATATTTTTGGCTTTAATTTAATTAGGCCCTGTTTCCTTTTTTTTTCCCCTATTTTTATTTCTTAATCACAAAACGGCACTTAATTATTTGTATAGGAAACAGAGAAAAATAAAAATAAAAATAATGTAACAATTTTGTAATTAAAAATTAAAAACACTAGTAAAGGGGGTCATGGGAAAAACAAGTTTAGGAGGATAAATCAAAGGTGAAATTATGAGGAGTACCTTCATTCAAAAAAAATATTCTTTATTTAAAATAGAAAAACTCTAAAAAAAATACTTTTAATTTATATTCATTAAACTCATAATCCTCATTCTTATTATGTTGATTATAGATTTTATTTAATTTTTTGATTTTAATATTGGGTTTTGTGACTAAATCACAGAGCATAAATGATGTGCTAGCTGGAGTAATCTTCTTTGGCATCAGGCTATACATGCAAGAAATAAACCTGAAATCAAGCCAAACACAGTCCACAGCATTGGTGTTGCTGAACACAAGAAACATAGAAGGGTACAAGTCAGTTAAGGAGATGGTGGAAAAGACCAATAGTAGGGCTGCATGGGGGAACCAATATGCATTCTTGCATGTTCCAATTCCTGAGCTTAGTGATTCCAAATATGCCAACCCTCTTGAGTTTGTATGGGAAGCCAACAAAGAGATGAACAAAAGGAAAAACTCTTTGGCCACTCATCTCACTGGCATGCTTTTGGATACCCTCAGAAAACTCAGAGGCCATGAGGTAGGTGCCTCTCCCCAGTTAAATGCACTCACTTTCCATCATTAATTTTAGGAGACTTCATAGTAATATTTAGGGCACTTTTTTCTTATAGGGTAACTATCTTAATGTCTTTTCTAATGTTATCTTGCATTCGAAATTAAATTAACACTTTAAATTTGATGATGGGTCAGTACGCTGCATAAGTACTTTGCACTCAGTTCGTGAGAATGACATTTTTAACAGAAAATTCATATTCAGGTTATATATCGTATGCAAAAACTCGTCAGGTTAGGTTAGCAATAAACATTGTATTGCAGATGAGATTAATTTTTTATTTTATATAATTTAGGTACAATTTTTTTGGATGTTGTTGATATTATTCTCTAATTTAAGTTAAAGTTTTATTTTAATATTATGTATTTATATTTAATGTAGATCTTATTAATATACATTTATGAATAATGCTTCAACTTTATTAAAGAATCATTTTAACTTTATATTAAAAAAAAACTGTATCTAAATATTTCCTTTAATTTTTTAGTTAGTAGATTGGGGGGTCCTTGTAGTAGGGCCAAAATTAATGTTTTACTTTAAGATTTTTTCTTGATTGCAAATCTGTATTATACTAGTAATAATTATGAAAGTGAAAGGTATTGTTTGTAGTTGAAAAATTTAATAGAGTTTGGTAAACAAACTTATTTTAGTAGATGTATTTTTTTTAAAAAAAAAATTATTAGAAGTAGTATTTCTAATTTCTAGCTTTTTACCCTTAAAATATTTATTAAAAAATTACCCTTCTTTTTTACACGTAGAAATTTCTTTTTCTTTTCTTTTTTCGTGGTCGTTAACATTACTTTTAGGTTTTTTTAATACACTATTAATTTTAATCATTAGATTATTTACAATGTTTATTTTTATCACTTTTTAAAATATACTTTAAGATATTGATAATGATAAATAATAATGATTACACCCTTTACGTTATTTATTATATTATTTTAATATTAAACTTCAAGATATTTTAACCATTATACTAATCAACACAATAAAAATATTATGCATGTTATTTTATTTTAAACTTGATTGAAAATATTATCAGACGTAGTATAAGAATAATAGTAGAATACACAGTACAAAAACTTAATAATTGAAAGTAAAGGTTATTAAAATAATTTTTCTACACATAAAAAATTATAAGAGTTCTTAATTAATTAAAAAAACTAAAATTAAAAATACCTCAAAATACACTTTTATTAATAAGATAAAATTAAAACCTATATAAGAATATCATATAAACATATTTGTTTAATTTAATTTGCATGCATTTATCATCTACTTCAACAAATAATTCTTATAAACATTCATGATTCAATAGATTAACTTAACAACTTTCAACAACCCAGTCAATCCTCACCAACTTTATCAATCAGAGGGCCTTAAAATTTTGGTAATTAATATTTTTTTAAATCTTATTATGGTGTTTCAGGCTGCAGCTAAATACTTGCACACTACCTTAAGAAACTCAAGCACAACAATCTCAAACATCATTGGACCAGTGGAGCAAATGGCTGTGGCTAATATTCCAGTTAAAGGGTTTTACTTTATGGTTGCAGGTTCCCCTGAGGTAAGTAATGATACTATAATCGATTAATTCTATGTATTATCATACATTAACATGTTTAATAAATTTATTCAAAAATATTTATAAGATTTAAAAAAAGAAAATTAAATTATTTAGAGTTAAAAATAAAATTTTAGAAACATTAATATGAGAAAACCTTTATAAAATAATTTATATAAACTAATTTTATCTTATGAAAAAATTTGTTCCATGTACTTTTATGTTTTGGATCAATCTCTTGAAGGATGCACAGGCTGGCATAGCATACATCACTTTCCATTAGAATGTGTTGCGTCTGAAAGTTTTTCTTTGGCAATTAATGATGTTATTGATTTTGTTGTCGCTCAATTTTGTTACAACTTGACCCTAGTTCGGATCATCAATGCATGTCGTCAAGTTGTCAACCATTAATAGAGCCCTATCTGTTTTGCACTATTATATTTTAATTAAAAATAATTATAAAAAAATTATAAAAAAAATACTATTAACAACACACACTCTATCATATTTAAAGTTTATTAAAAAATACAAAATTAGTATGTCTCATTTATTATTTAATGATTCAATAGATTCTAATAAAAAAATGAGTGTGATAAAATGAATGAATTAGAGAATATGCTATTAGTGTTCTTTTAAAATATGTTATTTTTGAAAAAACAAATCTTTCATTATTACCCAAAAAAAAATATCATTATTATAAATAAATAAATAAATAAATAAATAAACCCTTCGCAAGAACAACATCTAAGAAACGAATGAAACACACAATACTTAACAAAAAACGTAAAATGCAAAAATATAATTATGTAGATAAACGTAACAACATAGAAAGAAAAGGATTAGGAAAAAAGAAGACAACAATTTACATTTTTATTAAATATAAATGTAAATATAATTTTATAAACAACTGTTTTTAAGATAAAGATTATGTGCTTAATTAAAATAAATTAAATTGAAAGTATAATGTTTAGAGGGGTCAAATGGTGGTTTGTAAATTGCGATTAGAAAGGATTGGTATGTAATTAAGAATGTATTTTTTATTGGTTAGAATGATATATCCAACGAAGTTCAAGGATAGTAAATAATATAAAAAATTATCAATTTTGTTTTTCTCACATTTTGTCCCTTACTTTTAAAATATTACACATTGTCTCCCTATATTTTAGCAAAATGCATATTTTATCTCACATTTATTAAATTTTTGCATATTTTATCTCATAATCACACAAATGCTATATTATCCATCTAAGTTAGCATCATTTGTACTACTACATTATTAATATTACCAGGTCAACAACAGTCAACTGAAAAAATAGTACAAATGTTTTGCTTTTACACATGTAATGATTGTAAATAGATAAAATAAAATTTACTTTTATCTATAAATATTTTCAAATACTTGTACTTACGGTTATTTATTGTAAGTAAAACTTACAAAGTTGCTACTATATAACTCACATAATAGATGGTTAGATCGTTTGTGAGTAAATATACTTAAATTTTCAACTTTGAGTGTCAATTTATGTCTCCATTACAAATTAATTTTCTTGTATTGAATAAATTTTTAAAAAAAATGATAAGAAAAAAGATTCGCAGGAAAAAAAAGGGACAAAATTCTTAAGCTAGTGTAACTTTGGCATAAAAATTGTAATTAAGTAATAATAAGTAAAATTAAAAATATAACATTTAATATTTTAATGTGTTTTATGATTTTCTTGATAAAAATATTTTATTTGTTAATTTTTTAATCATTATTTTAAAAGAATATAGTTATCAAAATCAGCATAAACAAAGCACGTCAACAAATCTGCGTGTAATAATTCTTTCTGTTCTAAAATGTTTATTTTTAATTATATGTTACTGACCTAAAGTATTTATCGTCTTTATAAATAACTAATCTCTATTAGATGGTTGATCATTTTTAATATTTTTTTAATTATTTACAATATTAATTAATAATATTTTATTTAAAAAAATTGATTTCAATTCCATTCAAACTAATAGCAGGTTAGTATTCTCATGTAAAGTGTATACGCAAGATAACTGGAGATGCATAATCATGATATATACGACAGTATGCCCAATTATAATCATATTCCTGAAAATATAAAGATAGGAAATGTATGATAAATTTATGATTTTTATAATAATTACATTTATACACTGTACATAAAATTGAACTTTAAAAATAAAATTACTGAGTACGTACTAAGTACTTCTTTCATTTTTTTTCTTTTAAACTCGTTAATATTTAACATTGTAATTTACAATCATTCTTTTATATTAATTTGTCTATATCAAATTAAAGATAATACACTCTGATGAAATTGCAGAGTCTCACCATAACGATCATGAGCTACATGGGGAAGATAAGAATTGCATTTGGAGTAGAGAAAGACTTTATCGACAAGCAATTATTCAAGTCGTGTTTGGAGAATTCTATTGAGATGATAACGGAAGCAGCAAGGAAGATTTCAGCATAATCAATGGAATGCATGTATCATGTATTTCCACTATATTATTGTTAATATTTAATTGTTTTAATTAAGTATATATGGTGCAATGATTCTGCAATAAGATTTTTCTTTTTGTGAAATGTATTTTTATTGAACTGGGACAGTAATTAAGATACTATGATGATTGCATCTACTGAGGAAGGAGGCTATATATTGAAATCAAACCATTTTTTCTCATTTGTGGACAGCTTCCTAGATCGATCGTTAACAAAGTGATAAGCCCAACCTGTTAATTGCTGAAAATATAGATCGATCAAGAGACCCACATGGTTACAAGACTTTGGATGAAGGATTTTTTTAAAAGCACCTCCATATATTTAATAGTACACCTCAATTATTCTATTCTTTCTCAAAGTACCCTTAAATTAAAGATTTTGTTACCCCTTAAATTTTATTTTTAATTATTTTAAAATTTTTAACTTTACAAGTTAATCAAGGTTGTACTTTGGCCAAATAACTTTAGTTCAAATTCGAAATTTAAATTTGAATTTTTTTCCAAAAAGGACGTCAATATCCTACATCTAAAAAAAGTATGATGAGGGTGTGTTATTAAAAAAAGGAGTGTAAAAGTAAACATAAAAAAAGTGTGACGAGTGTGTGACATGAACCATTTGCATGCATTAAGGGAAGCTCAACACCCTCTCACCAAGCAGGTTATTTTAGTCATGTATCATTTCGATCCCTTCCCTCTTATTTGTGACATCCTTTACTTTGCATACATGTAAAATTAATACTTCGTAACAAGAATATAAAAATCTCCAAATAACTTGCATAAATAATCAAAGTAAAATCTTTAACATGAGGCAAAGAGTCTCACATAACAAACATTTAAAGTAACGCCATACTAAGGTGGAAATGTAAATTAAAAAGAACCTATCATAAGAATTAATAAAGAATATCCCTAGTCTAAGTTCTGATGTCACATGTCTTATTAGAGCACTTTAAGACAAGGATCAAGCCTCGCCACCAACATCATCAAGATCTTGATGAGCCTTTCCTACAACAACATTCATAACAACAAGACATGGGAATAAAAGGGAGTGAGGAAACTTCTCACTCTAACTTGTGACATGAAATAAGAGATGAATAGTCAAACACACTTCATACATTATTTATACCATAACATGACATTAACACATAATTATCACTATTAAACACAATCACTCATTCATAATGCATCTATCATAAATCTCTAGATACAAATCAATCACATGCAAATTTGAAATGTAATGGACACGGACTCTCGATTTGCATGCATGTGATACCAATCTCAAGACATGTGTAGTGCATATTAAATGATTTGTTAATTTGTTGATTTGTATGCATATGATATATGTAATACAAACTCTCTATCATATTCACTACTACAAGATGCATATTTTACATCGGTTCTCTAAAGTCATTTACATCGGTTCTAAAACCGATGTAGAATAGAGCGATGTAAAAAATGTATACATTTTTACATAGATTTAAGCATAAATTTACATCGGTTCTCTGGACAACCGATGTAGATTTAAGAATAAATCTACATCGATTCTCTGAAGAACTGATGTAAATTTATGCTTAAATTTACATCGGTTTTACTGAGAACCGATGTAGATTACTTTTTTTTATAAAAAAAAAATTTGGTAATGAAACTGGGACAAACAATTCCACTAAGTCAGAATTTTTTCACTCGACTCAAGTTTTAAACCGATTATAAACATGTTTATTAAAGTAATTCAATTTTAAAATGGTTTGTTAAAGTGGTTCACATAATTTATAAACCAGTTCATTTTATTAAAATGGTGTGGTGTAGTTCAGTGCGGTTTTTTTTAAAAAAACCAAACCATGCACACCCTTAATGAGTCCATGAGTTTGTGAATGTGTGACATGCATCATATGCATTTATGTGACGGGGTACGATATGGAATAATCGTTAGGGAAGGCCCTCCATGTGTGAAACATCTTGGAGGAGTCCTAGGGGATAGTGCGGTTTGGAAGGCCCAGTTCTGCCTGTTTGTGTGCATGGGACATATCTTGCACGACTTTGCTATCCCGACAAGACCCTAGCAGTACATCCTTCTAGTTGAGAGTGCACGATTGAGCCGGCATGTACTCCTTGACTACTCCAGGTATGTTGCTTTGGTAGCATACCATGTGATATGTGATTATGAGACACATGACTGGCGCCACATGCATGCATTTATGAGTCGAGTCCATGACATCATTGCATGATAAATGAGTGTGCATGTGATACTAATTGTGTATGTGTGTTGTCTATAAGTGATTGGTGCTTTTGACTTGTATTATATTTGTTGTGTGTGTGTTGTCTAACTGTTATTTTTACACCTGAAACCAAGTGAGATGTTTCTCACTCCCCTATTTGCTCTACTTGTATTCTTATTGTGCTGTAGGTGATCATCAGCATGAGGATGTTGGTGATGAGACTTAGGCTTCAATTGGGAGTGCTCTGATAGGATGTGACATTGGGGCATAGTTAGGACTAGTTTAGGACTTTAGTTTCTTCCGCAAGTGAATTATGATTATGTATGCGAATGTGAATCCTTATTTAAAACTGGTTTATTTTTTAAAACCGGTTCAAAAACTGGTTTGATTATGAAACTGGTTTTAAACCGATTATAAACATGTTTATTAAAGTAATTCAATTTTAAAATGGTTTGTTAAAGTG